CACTTATTTTCTCACATTATTTTTCCCATCTTACATATTCTATGTTTTCATTCTTGCCTTTTCATTCCTTATCTCAGCCAAATTGATTTAACAACAAAAAATAATAATGTTTGAGCCACACTAGTCTGCATATATTCTTTTTGTCAATATTCATGTTCAGTTATTAATGCTAAAATAAAGCTGACCTAACAAAAGCAAAAGTCGTCAAGATTTCTGTTTGTGTCTTGTTTTTTGTTTTAACATAAAGGGCAGAGAATTAAAAGAGAGAAAGATTTTTCTATTCTTTGATTCACTCACCAAATGTCTATAATAGCTAGTGCTGGATCATTTCAAAGCAAAGGGTCCATCCCAGTCACCAATACAAGTGGCAAGGGCCCAACTAGTTGAGCCATCACCTGTTACCTCCTAGGGTGCATATTAGCAAGAAGTTGGAAACAGGAGATAAGCCAACTCCTAAACCCAAGCACTACAAAATGGAATGCAGACATGTCAAGCAGTGCCTTAACCCTTTGGACAAGCACCTATTCCAATGTATCACCTTTATGGATGCCTAAAAATACACATAGCAAATTTGACCACAGTTTGGTCGTACATTCCGCCAATATTAATGAAGCACCTACTAGCTGCCAATTCTAAGCCCTGAGGAGACAGCAATCATTATAAAGGTGAGACTGGAAAATACTACAGCTTACTTTTTGTTGAGCAATACAGCCAATAAATAATAAAATAAAATGAACTATCAAATATATGAGATTGTGGAAAATTTCATGAAAAAAATAACAACATGGAAGTTGATACATTGGGATTGAGAGATTTCAGTTTTAATAGCTGATCACAAAATGTCTCATGCAGGTGACATTTCAGGAAGATCTAAAGGAGGAAAAAGAGGAAAGGATATAGATTCATAGGGAAAAAATTTTCCTTGCATTTACAGCAGGAAATTCAACTCTTCAAGGCAAGAGCATCCCCTGTGAGACAAAAAGACCAGAAAGAGGCAAATATGGTATGAAATGAAGAAAGGACAAAGAAAGTAAAGGAAGAAAGTGAACTCAGATCCAGGGGCTTTGCAATGCAAGTTGGTGCTTGTTAGGACTTCAGTTTCAAACGTGAGATACAGAGATATTAGATGGTCTGAGATGTGATGTGGCATGTTCTGATTGAAGACTCATGAATCATACTGACTGCTGCATTAGAAATAGACTTGCTAGCCAGGCGGGATGAGCATAAAGCAAGAAGTTGTTGCTGCAAACCAGAAGAAAAATGATAGGACTAGATGAAGGACATCGTGATGAGGCTGTGAAAAGTGGGCAAACCCTAATATGGTGCTGCAACACCAAATGAGCAGAAAGGGGGGGGGGCGTTGAGGGAATGTGCATTCTGTATTTTTGTCTAACTGGAAGGTTGGAGTTGGCAATTCTGAGCCGGCTGAGGCAGCAGGAAGATCACGATTAGAAAGGCAGTGTGGGAGGTCATTATGAGACAACTGAGTGGTGTCGCACGAAATCAGTTGGATATATGAGTCTAGAGTTCAAGGGTGGGGTCTGGGCAAGATATAAATTTAGGAGTCATCTTGTGAAACCGGATGAGCTCACCATGTGGATAGAAAATTTAAAAGAGGTCTAAGGAGCTAGCCCTGAGAGCAGAAATGCTAGCTCATGGAAGCTCTGGAACTACAGTGAGCTTGAACCAAACCCAAAGGTGTACCATGAACAGCAGAAAGGACACAGCTGGGTCAGACAATGCTGATGAGTCCAGTCTAATGAACACTAAACCTGCAGCGAGAGATTTAACAAAATGACTGATGACTAGACCCGGCACAGTGGCTTAGCGGCTAAAGTCTCTCCTTGAACATACCAGGATCCCATATGGGTGTCAGTTCTAATCCCTGCTTCCCACCCAGCTCCCTGCTTGAGGCCTGGGAAAGCAGTCCAGGATGACCCAAATCCTTGGGACCCCACACACACGGGAGACATGGAGGAAGCTCCTGGCTTCGGGCTCAGCTCTGGCCATTGCAGCCACTTGGGGAGTGACTCATCGGACAAAAGATCTTCCTCTCCGTCTCTCTTCTCTGTATATCTGACTTTGCAATAAAAAATAAACAAATCTTTTTAAAAATGACTGATGACTAACAAGAACAGTGGTGGTGAAGTGACAGAAGTGAAGAGATATGAGGATGCATTCTGCCGAGATGAAGAAGAAAGGAATTGAAGACAATGAGTATAAGCATGCATGTCAAGAAGATTTGGAGATGGAGCAGAGAAATGTGTGGGCGAATAGAAAGGAGTGGAGGTTTTTGTTGTGAAAAATGAGTCTGCTTGCTGACAGAAGTGTTCCAGATACGAGAGAGAGGGGAAATGAGCAAAGTGTGTCCTTGAGCTGGAGCGTGGGATGGGGTCAGAGTGCAAATCAGAGCAGTGTGATAAGAAAGGGTCCGGCAGGGGGCAGATAGATGGATAGTGGGAGCTTTGGGAGATCTCTCTGGAGTCAGTTATCCTTGCAATGAAACTGTGGTCATCAACCAAAAGTAAAGATGGAGGAGGTGGCAGTGTTTAAGGAGAAAGTGTGAAATAGTTGTCTAGGAGAGTAGGAGAGTGAGCAGACGATGGAAATACAGTACAGCTTCTTGACAGAATGAGGCACCCACTTGTGTTCTGTTATCTTGAATTTAGGATGAGTCCAACAAGTTGCGTTCTCTTATGAATTTAAGCATACACATTCCACATCAAGAAAATAGAGATACTGTAGGAGAGTAATGGGAAAGTGTGTGTCGGGTTGCGAGAAGGATGAGGGACGTGAGGAAATGATGTAAAGACAGACACTACAATTAGGCATTGGAATTTGTGCTTGAGAAAGCTGGATGGGATAATGTGAGAGGATAAGATATAAAAATTTAGGACACCAAAATAAGTATTGCTGTTTAAAAAAAAATTACTTTTTGGTTAGAAAGGCATATTTTTACAGAGAGGAGGAGAGACAGAAAGGCCTTCCTTCTGTTGATAGGTTCACTCCCCAAATGACCGCTTCTGAATCTCCCACATGCTGCAGGATCCCAAGGATTTGGTCCATCCTCTGCTGCCTTACCAAGCCACAAACAGGGAACTAAATTGAAAGTTGAGCAGCCAGGATACAAGCTGCCACCCATATGGGATGCTGGAGTTTGAATGTAGAGAGTTAGCCAATTGAGCCACAGAGCTAGTTCCTAAATATCACCTTTTAATTCTGTTATCCATATTTTGTTAGAATCCATGTATAAGTTTATCAAGATATACACAAGAATTCCCACGACTAAATGTGCAGTCTGTATTTTAAAACAAAATGCATACTTTAAAATTCCCTTTTACGGGCTAGTACTGTGACATAGCTGGTGAAGCCACCACCTGAAGTACCAGTATCCATATGGCTGCCAGTTGTGGTCCTGGATGCTGCATTGCCCATAGAGCTCTCTGCTAATGGCTTGGAAAAGCAGCAGTCATAAGAGACCTGGAAGCAGCTCCTGGCACCTGGCTTCAGGACAGCCCAGCTCCACCATTGTAGCCATTTGGGAAGTGAACCAACAAGCTGAAGATGCCTTTGTGTGTCTCTTCCTCTCTCTTTCTGTAATTCTGCCTTTCAGATAAGTAAATCATGAGTAAATTCTTTCTGATGTAAGATATTTCCTGCTTTATATGGATTCCATCCCTTTTCTCACATCAATTGGTGTAAATACAAACAAGCTTTGATTAGCTCAAAATTTACATCAGTTCCAATACAGGCTGAGATCTACATACTCCTATATTTCTGCATTCTAGGGCTGTTGCGGGTTTTTTTTCCTTTTTTAATGTTGACTCTGTTCCAAGGATTAGAGGTACATTATTGGAGATCCCCTGCATTCAGTGTAATTGGGAGCTGTGTGGTGGCCAGCCTACTGGTAGATTTAGAGATTAATTTCTAGACATCTTGTGCTCCTGAGAAGCACTTCAAATGAGTCCTAACAACTAAAAATTACCAGTGTCCACATCTACCCTAATGTACAAGGAAATTTTATGACACATATTGATGTTATTTTACTTTGTGGAAAAATATCTATGCATTATAAACACATACAAACATACATACATACATACATACATACAAAAATCCATAACTAAATCTTGTCAGAGTGAGAAATATTTTATCCTTCACAAAGACAGTGTCTGCAGATGTGTTTCTCTCCTTTTACACAGCAAGGCTGATGACATTTATTGTTAAACCAATGCTGTTTGCACAGAAAAACAATAATCCAAAGGGTCTGAACACTCAGGTCTTGGTCAATTTCTCCAAAACCAGACTACGAGCCCAAGATTGAAGTGCTAAAGAAACACGAAAGGAGTAAACTCAGTGTAACTTAACAACACTTCAGATTTCCTTGAGAGTCAATGGGGACAGTTTTGTTTTGTTTTGTTTTGTTTTCCGAATGTTTTTTTTTTTCCTAAATGTATTCTGCTCTAGTTTACAATCAGTGCATTTTCAGGGAAATTTAATCCATATGTTGCAATGAATCTACCCATAAATCATCCAAATGTTGGTTTATTAGAGTGACATGCTGTTTAAATGCCCATTGAGCATTTTTAATAGTCCTTATATTCCATTTCTGAAAAGCAGCAGGTAAGTTGCCAAAAGTAAATGAGTCAAATAGCAAAAGGTTTAAGTTTGGTTTGAAATGCTTAGCCTGTTATTTTTCATTGGGTTCTGAATTTGGCAGTGCATATACACCGTGCCTGCCTGCAGGGCATAGTGAAAACAATTTGAACACTGTATTCCCAGTTGGTTCATTGACATTTGAAAGTAACATAGTACGAAACAGAATCAGCAGGTTTGGCAGGTGAGTGATACTTAACATGACCTCAGAAAGTTACTTGATCCCATCTGCAGGAGTTCATAGCATTGAACAATGTTACTGATGTCACAAAACATGATTAGGGGCAAACAGCCTTCCAGGACTCGACATCTAGGATTTACCTGCTTTTCTTACGCACCTGTAGGTTGAGTGGTTGAAGAATGAAGACATAATTGATCCCGTTGAAGATCGGAACTTTTACATCACCATTGATCACAATCTCATCATAAAGCAGGCCCGCCTCTCTGACACTGCAAATTATACCTGTGTTGCCAAAAACATCGTGGCCAAGAGAAAAAGCACAACCGCCACTGTCATAGTCTATGGTGAGTGAGTTTCTCGGTTCTCCATTCAGTTCTCGTCCAACTACAGTACCACCTATGTGCAGGTGTTTTCAAAGTCCTATGCTATTCTTCCCAGGCCCTCACACCAACAGGGAGGATTCACTGCTTCCCTGGTACCCTGATTCGCAAACATTGACTTGAAAATTCCTACATGTTGATCATCAGCTTCCATGAGAGTCCCCAGGAACTCCTAAGGTCTCCCTTCTCTGTAAACTTCAACACTAGATCCCAATTCAAGTTCTGTGGATAAAGATACCCAGTCGGCCTGCTGATGTTTCTGTGGGCAAGGCACAGCCTAGTGGTTGTAAGACATCTGAAAAGTTGGAGCTGACCTATTCTTCAACCGTGTCAGAGCGACTTGAACTTCCAAAAACCTGCTGAGTCCCTTCATGAGAGGGATGCAAAGGGAGACTGTGGATGCCATGGCCACGTGGCCCTCACCTAAGAGAGCAGCCAAGTCCAGGATATTGACTATTTGTAGGTAGCTTCTTCCCTTTCCAAGACATTTCCTCTCTAGGCCATCATTTCTCCTCGAGTGTTAATAAACAAGTTCACACTCAGTTTTGATGTGACATATGTATTTTTATCTCCCTGAGCAATTTATCACTCCGCCAGTCGCTGGTCCTTTCACAAGTGGTTTCATCTTCCCAGTTAAGCTTTAAGCTCCTCTGTGGACCCAGAGATGTGTGTGTGTGGTTATTTCTCACAATATTAGACCCAAAGTCTAGGTCCTTGGTGGATAGATGATTTGATGTCCCAGGGGAAACGAAGCAACCCTGGGAAGGATTTTGAGGTTCTGTCACCTCTCACATGGTCTGCACAGATCTTTTCACACCACTCTCCCTGCTTCAGTGTGGAATGTCACTCAAGGGCCTTGGTGTCTGCTTGATGAAGAAGATGATCTAATCGTGAAATTTACTTACTGCCAGCAATACTGAAGGATTTGAGAATCTGACACTCCAAAATATGCCTCCTGGCACATTGACTCTTTGTAAGCTAAAAGCCTTTGCCAAACAGCAGGTATGAGAAATCCCTTAGACTTCCCTTCTGCTCCTTCCAGACAGGAGCTGAAATCCCCATGTGAATCATGACTGCCCTGGACTAGATGGAAAGTGGCATCTCAGGACTGGAAATTGAAGCTCCTCCCTCCCCCCCAAAAAAACCTCTAAATTTTACTGAAATAACACCTTTTTGTAGCCTCACCACAGATTTTGGTAACTTATATGCACTTACTGCTCTGGGTCCAAATCAGTATGTGTGTAGTGCACGCTAACAGACTGATTTCACTTTATGAAAGTGCCCATGCGGTGTACAACTTGTGCTCAATGCATTTGTATCTTTCTCTGCAACTGCTCTGTCTAAAGCCAACCAAATTGTCAAGTCTAGGATAAAAAAAAAAAACTCTTTAAATATAGAGGCTGAGATTTTGTTTTCCTACATTATCATTCAGGTGGATGTATGCTTTTGATGGAAGAACTTACGAGGGGAGAAATCACCATGTTATTCCAAAGACTGACTGTAGTGAGGCTTTAAAGCTGTCACTTTAATTAAGGACAGATGCATACAATTTTTTTATCCTATCATTATTCTGGGGCTTAATTTTCTAGACCAGATAATGGCTATGGTGAATTATAAGCAACCGCCTTTCTTAAGTCATAATAAAATGTTTCCTGCTTTTTATCTTTTTCTAAACTGCCTGAACGTCTTAACTAGCAGCATTTGAAATGCAAAGGAGAAATGGGGCACAATCACTGTGATGTAGTAATCATGAATGACTAATGAAGGTTATATATAGATAGAGTGGATACTTAATATACACATGAAACTCTTCCTGTGTACAGTCTCCTTTCAATATCCATAATGCAACACATAAGTCGCCTTTTAGGAAAGATCAAACCCAAGAAATGTCAACATTTTGAAATAGGATAACAGCCTCGGACGGAATATTGGGACTCTTACATTCTGGGACCACATCTGTCACTAACTGTGTTTTTGAACTTGGATTCTCAGAGCCATTGTCTTCCCCAGTGAATAAACGATAAGCCCAGGATCTTCGAGCAGAACTTACGGTCTCTGAAAGTTTGTGATTACTCATCCCTCATTAAAAAAAAAAAAAAAAGCTATAGCAGGGCATCACTTATAACCCAAAACCCAAATATCAGCTTGCCAGTATGTTGGTAAGCAATTTATGCTGACAATGCCATGACATTTGGAATTTGTAAAGCTGAACAGGTTACATTCGTTTCTACCTCTCAACCATCTGTTTGTCCTTTCCATGGCCTCATAAAACAAATTTAAAGCTCACAGGTTGGAATCCTCAGATGTCTACAGAAAAGCACTTATGTTTAATGAGTATTTTTACTTTTTGAACTTATACAAAGAGGTCCATCAGAAAAATCACAAAAAGTAATAAGCCTTTAAAAACACAATGTTTCCCTATCATCACTGTAATTAGGTTGCCAATTCAAATAGCCTATTTACAACTCCAACACTGTAAGATTTTATTTTTTAACCAGCTTCACTACACTCATTAGTTCATGAAACAATGCTTAAACACAAGCTTTATATTTGCAAAAGAAATATAACTAAGCATATGCTTTTTTGTTTTTGTTTTTGTTTTTTTTAAGAGGGCTAAATTGTTCTATTCCTTTCCCCTGCAAGAGATAGAACCATTTGCAGCTTTGGCATGAAGATATATACATTTCTTGAGCTAAACTAGCAAAAGTGATTTGGGGAACTTTGTAAGATGAGGGAGTATATTACTTTAAAAGGATTATATTATTTTAAAGAAATGTTGGCCAAAGAAATCAGAATACAGCTCATTTTATTGTTTTGAGCAAATCTCAGTAAACAAATTTTAATTTATATCTCCCTTTAGTTCTTCCAACAATGTGAGTACACTGAAAGTCTCCATGAAATGAAATACATGGGCTCATGTGGCCTTGAAGTGTTAGATGCTTTGTATGTCACTTTGGGAAATGACTTATGCTGATGTGCTGTGTGTGGTTTGTGCATCTTCATATATATGGCAACCACCTGTTACTGCTTTTCTGCTTTCAGTGAATGGTGGCTGGTCTACCTGGACAGAGTGGTCCGTGTGCAACAGCCGCTGTGGACGAGGGTACCAGAAGCGTACAAGGACCTGCACCAACCCAGCACCACTCAATGGTGGTGCCTTCTGTGAAGGACAGAGTGTGCAGAAAATAGCCTGTACTACATTATGCCCTGGTAAATTGGCCTGTCTACCATTTCCATATGTCTCCTACCATGCTGGAGTCATGTTTTAGAGATACAAGTGCTTTATTCTTGACCTGAGTGTGTGATAAACATTATGTAAATCCATTCTACATCCATGGTTTACATTGCTGAGAAATCAAGAGTTTGCTTCCAAAAGAGTACTTAACTTTGTTATCCAAATATGCAAAATAGTATCAAAGAGGAGATTAAGCACTCAGGAACATAATCCCTCTATATTATTCAGTAGAACTGCTGGAGCCAAGATTAGAGGGTCTTAATTCAAGGGATTTTGAACAGCATCGAAAGCCACACATTTGTAGGAATAACAACCCTTGATCTTTAGAAAACCATGGAGCTTAATTGGAATTGAAATTTAGAAAATGTTTTTGACTGAAATGTTTGATATGTGGTGTCGGTTTCTGGGCAACAGCAAATAAAACATTTGGAATGAATTAAAAGGAAGACAAAGCTTTGTGACACACACGATAATGGATTTTGAAAATATAGTGTAGTAAGCTCTTTATTATCTGTCCATGTTGGTCATCTATTTTATGAGTTATTTTCAGTTATACCTATAGTGTAACTGAAGTAATATAACTGATGTAAGATTCCATCCCTCTGGTTTTTAGCATGCTTTTGTACTGTCTCTTATTATTACCAGATCTTATCCCTAGGTAAACTGAAGCCAATATTTACCAGTGCCAAAACCCATTAAAGTGTCTGGCAGTACAACTTATCCCCAACTTAGTTGAAATTATTTAGAAATGCTATATACATCTGATGCACCGGTTGAATTAGCTGTTTTGTTGTCAGTTTCATTTTTAATACATCCTTACTTCTAATTACTTTATCTAGCTTGTTCCAGTTCATTTTTTTAATAGAACTTTTCTCAGAAATGGGCTAGGGAAATGACTGGAAAGAAAAACATAATTGACACGTTACTTTCCCAAGTTTTGATTTCCCCGTATCAAAACCAACAGTCTCCCACACTCAGCTCTTTGAGAGCTTTTATTTATGGAATGAATTTGGGCACTCAACTAGACTTAGAATTTCAGATTTTGTCTTATACTCTTTTGTATCTGTCTAGAAACTGACTCTCAAAATAAGAGTGCGTGTGTGTGTGTGTTTCTGTTCATTGGGTCGGTCTAAGTCTCTAGGCACATTCCTCACTACATATAGCTGTGAGTTGCTTTAATAGCCACCTCTGTGTGATATAAATATTAGTACTTCCATCAGTTTTTCATGTGAGCATGTTTTTATTTCTGTGCATACTGTATATAATATATTTACACAATGATTTGGCTGTTAAATCATCCAAAATATTTTCCCAAATTGTGCAGACTGTTTTGCCACTATGCAGATACGATATTTGATGTTTTATATCAATCCTGGATAATTATAATTATTTATGCACTTCAAGTAAAATTAAATGTCTAAAAAAATTATTCCAACATTTATTCTATTTCTGTGATACAACTAAAAGAATGCATTTTTACGAATAATAGCAAATTTATTTACATAATTTCTGTAAGCTGAGATTTCAGTTGTATTATTTATAGAGATATCCCAATTCATTATCATTGAAAATGCTGCCAAAATTAGATAGTAAAACAATTCCATAAATCTAACTTACTACAGAAATTAGATATTTACCTAAATATTATTATTAAAAAATAGAAATAAATAGCTCGTCAAATATTTTAATAAAATCATTGGATACTAAGTGGAAGTTTTCAGTAAAAAAAAATAACCTCAATGAAAAAATGTGAAGTAAAAAATGAATTAATGGGAAACATATTGGATGACTGCATTAATAACTGCATAGGTGGATGCAAGGATAATGTATTGCTAAATGGAAAGAGGTAATTGCATGGATGGATGGACTGAAGACAGGAAAGAAGGAAAGGAAGGAAGGAAGGACAGAAGGAAGGAAGGAAGGAAGGAAGGAAGGAAAGAAGGAAGGAGCAAAGATGCATGGAGGGAAGGATGAATAAAGAAATTTCTCCCCAGTGTACCAATCTGTTCTCCTAAGTGCCATTCAAGTTTCATTGTCAAGATGATGCTATTAATCATGGCTCTTAGAACCAAAGAAGAATGCCTAATTTTCACCACAAAATACAGAAACTTATTTATTTTTTTTTTTAAAGATGGGATGGGGTGGGGTGTTGTGGCCTAATGGACTAGGCTAAACCTCTTCCTTCAGCACCAGCATTCCATATGGTCACTGATTCTTGTTCTGACTGCTCATTTCCATCCAGCCCCTGCTTATGACCTTGGAAAGCAAGGGAAGATGGCCAAGTCCTCAGGCCCCTAAATCTATGTGAGAGACATAGAAGAAGCTCCTGGTTCCTGGATCCTGATCAACTCATCTCAAACAATTATGACTATTGCAGGAATGAATCTACAAGTGAATTCTCCCTCTCTGTCTCTCTCTCTGTAACTCTACATTTCAAATAAATCAAGTTTTTTTTAAAAGAGGGAAATGCGGAGAAAAAGAACACCATAACCAATTTTGATGTGACACCATGGGACCACTCGGTTTTGCTCTGTCCTATTCACAACCTCCTGGCTTGCCCCCTGAGGAGAGCATCACACAGAACCCAGACAACACAGAACACACTTTAGTATTCAGTGACAGAAATGGAGAGAGTGCTTCTGAGTGTGTCTTGCATGGTGGTTTTGTCATGTTGTGCTTCACCCTCAAACGGTGGTTCTCTCCGTGATCTGACATGCGATCTTTTCATGGCAGTGGATGGCAGGTGGACCTCATGGAGCAAGTGGTCTACATGCGGGACTGAGTGTACCCACTGGCGTAGAAGGGAATGTACCGCACCAGCCCCCAAGAACGGAGGCAAGGACTGCGACGGCCTGGTCTTGCAATCCAAGAACTGCACTGACGGGCTCTGCATGCAAAGTAAGTAGATTAGACCAAATTGGAGTGGATTTGAGCAGGTGATTGGAGGACGTGAGATTGAAGGATGTAAAAAGATTTGGAGAAAATATTAAAAAGTATGAACAACAACAGTAAAACTCAGTATTGCTGACCCATGACCAAGGAATGATTTAGTCATTTCCATAGTGAGGTTGTCATTCCTTCTAGACCAAGGACCCATTATCCAGGAGTGCGCAAAAGGATATCCTAAACTCATGGAGTCAAAACATGACTTCCCAAAACTGAGCTATTTATTCATAATCCATGACTAATGTTACAGCAGTATCCACATAATGGGAAATATATGGAAGGATGGCAAATATTTGTGCAAGTAGATTTGTCAGCTTACAATAAATGCTTAGAATGTGCAACTTCACAATCCCTTGAAAATGGCCAGTTTGTGGGAGAGTTTATAATGCGGGCATGATTTCGTTAAAGCAAATAAGGTTACATAAATAACACAGTAGCGCATGAATTTTTAAAATGAGTGCAGAAAATTGGCAAGGGAATGAAATGGGCACTATAAGCTAAATACTTTCCCTTTGTTCCTGTCTTTGTTCCTTAGATTATCTTAAAGGGCTGCAGTTTGATTCCCATGCTTATTAAGTGTTTCTCCTCTACTGAGGAGCCCTTGGGTATACACTCACTGTGTCTTTCCTTTGTGACAGAACTAGGAATTGTTCTGAACTCACACACATTGAGAATAATGGATCAAATAATGTGCTCGCTACTTTTGAATCTAAACAAATGGTGGCCAAATGTTGACATTCATACAACGCATTGCAAATTGCTTGCAGAATACAAGCAGCTAAATGTGTTTGTGTAAAGGTATTTGTGTTTGTCGTTTAAGAATGAAATATTGTGTTTTCAGTGCATATGAAATTGTTTACCTTTTAGAATCGATACACACAAGGACCCTTAAAAAAGAAATCTTGCTTAAAACACAAATAAATAATTATGCTGCTAACACAGGATGAAAATCCGAGAGGCTTCTTATTTGTATGGTCAGGCTGCATTGCACTCTTCAAGAAGGAGCTGCTGCTGAGCTTACACAAAGCTTCTGGTTTTGATTTGGGGCTGCTACTGTGCATCCCACCGAGCTGCTACCAGAAATGCAAGAATGAAAAGAATACATCTGCTGTTCTCGCCCTTTTTCCAGAGATATGGGGTTTGTGCCTCTGGGCAGGAATTGCACTTTAGGAATAAAGTGACAGCATCACACATACAAGTTTTACATTTTAACACTGCTTTCTTTTTTTCAAGTTTCTCTTACTACAAAACAAACTGATTCCTGTCATTAGAAGTAGCATTTTAGGGGAGTTTGCTCCCCTCTTTTCCTTCCTCTTCTCTCAATGTCATACTTTAGCCTTGGGTGATTTTAAAAGGACTGTTTTCTGTTGTGCATACTTATAAGTTCTCAAGGCAACTGCTACTCACTAGGCATGTTTTTACTTATATGAGACAACATAGTCTGTTTACAAATGTAAAGCATCCAAACTAAGACTCCCCAATCCCTTGGCATCCAGATCACTTCTTCAGGATTAATAAGCTTTTTTTTTTCTGTATGATTGGATATGTGCCAATAATGATGACCTGAATTTTGTGTGTAAACAAGGACAAGGGAGAGGCTGTAAGTGTGTTTTGTTTGTTTACGTGTACATGTGCATGAGTGTGTGCATCTATTAAAAGTCTTGTTAGGCTGAAATGGTTTAGTATGTGGGTTAAATTCATTCAGCTAAAGAGCTGTTAATCACCACAGCCCTGATATGCAGTAGTAAAAGCCCCTACTGGGTCAATAGACTATTTTATCTGCCCTTCTATATCTGCCACGGTCTAACATAGGATTGCGCTCTGTACTGCTATTGATTTCCTCAGTGATAAAAACCTCAGCGATCTGACTGCACCATATAATTATAGTATTTTACAGTGCAAGCTGTAATTTCTGTTTACCAGGGAGCTTGGTGTTTCTGACATGATATTGCCAAAGTATTGCAAAGAAATGATGGTGTTGCTTTAGCTGATATTTTGTGGAAAATATATGTAGGACTCTAGAATTTGAAGACCAAGAGCTATAATGAAAGAATCAAGGTAGGAAAGAGAGTCAGATGATTACAATTGATAATTACAAGTTACCATCTAATACTCCATGTTGGGAGAATTTTGTCACATGTAACAGTATTACCTCACCATGAAGTGAGCCTATTTAACATTGAACTAGATATGAGATACAAACTTTGAATCTATTTAAAACTATATACAAATAATTCTGATATAAGTCTAGATATAATGGAGAAATCCAGACATCTTGCGGATATAAATGGGATTAAAATGTCTCAAATGTTTAAATATAGTGTTTTAGAAGTAAAGAGCTCGGTTGGTACTGCAGATCAATACAGTATAAAAGAAGTAGAAAAGAACAGTGTCCGGGTTGACAACAACCAAATTCAGGGCCAGCCATTTGGAAAAGTAGTTGCCAGTTAGGCACTCACATTCCACATCAGACTGCACAGATTAAATTCCAGGATTCAGGATCCTGCCAGGTAACGTCCTGGAGAGGTGGTGATGATGGCGGTGATGCCTTCAGTGGTTGGCTTGTTGGTGCCATCTCAGGAGAGCAGGGATGAGTTCTTGGGCCACGTCTTGGGCTGGCTCAGTCCCAGCCACTGCAGACCACTGGGGAAGGAACCCAGAGATGGGAGCTTGTGTGTGTTCTTGTTCTCTCTTTTTCCCCTCAACATATTTCTTCTGTAGTCACCCACTTTAATAGATCTCTAGGGCCCAGCACAGTAGCCTAGCAGTTAACTTTCTTGCCTTGAATGTTACAGGATCCCATGTGGGCACCAGTTCTAATCCCGGCAGCCCCGTTTCCCACCCAGCTCCCTGAATGCAGCCTGGGAAACCAAATGAAGATGGCCCAAAGCCTTGGAACCCTGTATCTATGTAGGAGACCCAGAAGAGGCCCCGGGCTCCTGGTTTCAGATTGGCTCAGTTCCAGCTGTTGGAGCTGTTAGGGGAGTGAATCAGCAGACAGAAGAGCTTCCTATCTGTCTCTCCTCCTCTCTGTATATCTTTTTTAAAATACTAGCATTTTAAATACAAATATTATGGAAGTATTGGATAAACTATTACAAGCTAAAAAGACACACACAAGAATCGGGAGTGAAGAGAGAAAGATTCAGAAGAAACTAGATGCAAAAATCTTTAAGTGATAGAAATGAAGTTACAACTCAAACCTACAGAGCCCCTTATGTGAGAGATGCCAATAGCATGTGGGCATAGTGGATGTAGGACCCAGGACCTGGGAGTTTGGGGTTTAATTTAGGCCATGAGGCAGAAGATTTGACTTTGTGGGAGCCTGAGGCTGAGACGTGGAAGCCAGAACTCTAAATAAAGCTGGGGCCTAGAAACAGTTTTGTTCCAGCCTCCCCCAACCCCTGCAAAAAAAAAGCTCAGAGGTTCCCCACCCCCACCCCGCCCCTGCACACACTAAACCCTGGAAACCACAGGAAAACTCCCAGCAAGGAAAGGAAAATGAAATACTCACTTAAATAAAACTTCTAGAAAAACCACAGTCCTACACCCAGCTCTGGTATGGAGATAAAGAAACAGTGCAAGGAAGAAAAACAAAAGGGTTATAATTAACTGGTAAACCTTCTGGGGTACCAGCAGTAGGCCATCTTATAGTAACCCTTCCACAACTGAAATGTGATAGTCTATGATAAAAATAGCGCATGCTTCAAAGTGTTCACATTCAATATAAACTCTGAACTCCCCCAAGTGATCACTTCCAGGCAGAGTCAGCAGCGCAGTTAACGAGCTAGCATCCTATTAACACAGGTAATGGAATAGTCGGGGTAATCCCATAAAATAATGGAGATGCAAACTGATTTTTAAGAGGAATCTAGGCACAATTAAACAGATTTTTTTGTTTAAAGGTACACAGATTTGGGAAAAACTCAAATATGTTTTCTAGAAATGTTTTCTGAAACTGAAAATTCAATGAGAGATTAAAAATCAAATCAGACATAACTTTATAAGAAACTGACAAGAAAATTAATGAACTGGAATATATCCTGTGAAACTTCTAGAATTCAGGAGAACAATAAATAAGTGATGAAGTGAAAGGGAGGTTAAAGCACCTATGAGAATAAGATTAGAAAATTCAATATTACTCAATAAAGCATTAAAATGAACTATTTTTGCACAATCGAGATTAAAATTTCACAAACTCTGATTAAACAGCTGAAACTCTAAAGTAGTTTTGATTCATCAAAAAAAATCACAGAAAAAAAATTCAGGGACAGTTAAAAATAAGATGCAAATAAATCATAGACAGGATTAACATGGAATTTGGGCAGGTGTAAACTAATTTAAATTTTTCCAAGTTCTATGTGTGGCTTAGGGAAAAAATAGTAATATAACATAAAACATAAAATATAACGTAAAATAATTAAATATAACATAAAAGAATTAAAGTAATTTGTTTAAAGAAATTGAGAATTAAAGGAAGAATTCAATGTAACAATGTTTGTGAGAGACATGTTTAAAAACCTAATTAGAGAGAAAGATTATAAGTAAAGGTGGCGAGGCTGGCACCTTGGCATAGCATGTTTATCCCCTGCCTGTGATACCAGCAGCCCCAAGGGGCGACAGTTTGTGTCCTGGCTCCTCCACTTCCAATCCAGCCACTGCAGAGGGATAAACCTGGAAAAGCAGCGGAGGTTGGATCATGTCCTTGGGACCCTACACCACATGACAGACCTAGAAGAAGCTCCAGCCTCCTGGTTTCTGATCAACCCATCTCCAACCACTGTGATCATTTGAAGAGTGAAGTAGCAGATGGAAGTTCTTTTTTTTCTCACTCTGTAATATTTGCCTTTCAAATAAAAATATTTTTTTCTTAAAGCTAAGAAGGCTTAGCAAGTTACATTGCCACTTGATACACCACATCCTACATCTGTCAGTTCCAGTCTTCCTCCTAT